ATAATATAATATATATATTTATAAATAAATATATATAATATAATATATATATATTTATAAATTAAACGCGAATTTAAATATTTACGTTAATTTTCGATATATTGTTAATATTGTTACAATTGTTAAAATATTTTAAATGCCACTCCAAATTCAAGTAATGATCAATAAATAATAATAAAAATAAACAAAAGCAAAAGAACAGAGATAATTTCCATACTATTTCGATATGTAATAATTTATAAATCTTTCCATTATTCTATTGGAGAATTCTGGAACCTCCGATGTATATGATAAAAAAAATGCATTCTATATTACGTATTCTACACGTTGTTCGTCTAACAATATGCACGTGCACGCAAGCCATTTTGTTCCATTCAAAAAAAAAAAAAAAAAAAAAAACTTACGTGGATTATTTGTCCAGGCCGCAAGTGATTCTCAAGCGTTGCTCAGGTGTCTGAGAGAGGTGCCATTGAACGCGCTGGTTTCCGTACCCGTGAAAGGATTGGAATTCGCCCCCGCCTTTGGACCCAGCGTGGACGGAGTTGTGATTGATCCAGGAGATCCCGAGGATCAGGACTTCACCCTGCAAGTGGACACGATCAATACGTTGAACAACATTTTATTGAGGAAGGACGTCGTAGCGAAACTCTCGAGGTAACTCTTCTTATGCTCCCTCCGCTTATGATCTTATTCCTCCATGCATTTTTACTCTTAATTCCTTCGTTCCGCCTCGTCAGACGAGGAATTTCACCCCTCTCTTTCGCCACACTTGAATACTTTAAACAAGAAAATTGAAATTGGAAGGAAGAAGCGAAAAAGATCGTGAAATACTTTAGGAATAGAGAACGAGAGGAAAGATTGTTAAATTTTATAGCATATAAATTTCAATGTCGATGAAAGCGCACGATAAACGCTAATGAAAATCCTTTTACGATTCTCTGATATAGTTATGAAATTTATAGACCAGATTCCTTTTTTTTTTTTTTTTATATTACGAATTTCAATTTATTCGATTTTGTGAAGTATTCTTCAAAATTATCATTAAAAATCATCTTTCGATATTATAATACATAGAACTAAGTCAAAGGGGAATATTACTTCGAAGATAAAGTATTCATAGTGAAATTCAACGAAGTATCTATTAATTTTAACGACGAAGTTTGCGAAATTTATTATCAAATATAACAATCCTATTATATCGTTAAATAGAATTGAAATAAAACAATTATGGTCTCGTTACGTTGGTTAAACTAATGTACGCTAATTGAGAAAATTCGCAGGGAAAAGTAAAAATGACTTTCTCTTATTCGGCACGTGAATTGTGGCCAACAAGCACGACTCGTCTTTCTTTCCTCTTCCCTTTCTCCACGTTCTTCTTCGCACGTGCTTCACGTTTCTCATCTTCTTTTTTTTTTCCCCCCCTTTTTCTCATTTGCGCTCGTTTTATCTCATGACATCTCGCTGTCTTGGCAAATCTCTGCCTCTTTTTATTTTCCCTCTTTCCCTTGATCACTCTCTCGCTCCGCTCTTCTTTTTATCTCTACTTTGAACTATCTACTCGTTCTTGTTTGCTTGTCACCGGCTTGTCCACCCTCTGCCCTCTCTCGCTCCTTCAAATATCTTACTTCCTTTTCCTTGAAATATCTTTTCGAGTTTAAACTCACTGCGCTTTTGATCTCGTTAATTTGCACGATGCAAATTTTCACTGAAATTCATGCTCAAGTAACTCGAATAATCGATAAAAAATATTCCAATTATCCAAAGATATACTCTTTTTTAATTTTTAGAATTTAAGTTATTTTTATTTCTTGAACTTTTTAATTCTCCCTCGTTCGAAAAATCAATATTTTCGAATTGCCGGCCATTTTTGGACACTTTGGTCAACCACATACGTGTCATAAATTTTCTTCAAATTCAATTGATTAGATTCCACTCGACTCAATGTTCATTTTACACAGCTTAAATAAATTTCCCTCTCCTTTAATCTCTTCATCCTCTCGTCTCTTTTCATCCTTCGCGTTTGCCTTCGATCACTTAATAAAAAAAAAATTCGGTTTCCTAATTTCCGCTCAAATTCGTTCCTATTCATCTTCCGTCCCACGATCGCCCTATCCGCGCTATTTCTTTTCTCACCCACGCAACGCAACGCGTTTACATACAGCACTTTTAATTACTCGAGTTTCCTCTTAGAGGTTCTCGTTGTCACGAGACCCCTCCCTCCTCCCAGTCTCTCTCCCTTTGTCCCGTCGTTCCGTCGCCCGTCCAGGCAAAACGCTATTCCGCCCACGCTGAAGTAATTTAACAATTGCATCGCCGTTTAGCCAGCCAACAAGGGTGTTTATGCGGGGACTCACGGAAAAATGTTTTCGCTCGTCGGTCGCTCGCACAAAGGCTCGCACGACGACGGCGAATAACGAAATAACCGTGGGGAGCTAAGCGTGGCTTAATTCCGTGAATATTGGTTCGCGAGAACGGAAGACGACGATGGCTGATTGCTTTTCGTGGAAAAAGAAAGAAGAAAAAAGGATTGCGCGAAGAAGAAATTGAAAGAAACGATGAAAAATTGAAAGAAAAAGCAAGACGTTTAATATTATATTTTTGATTTCTTCTATGATTCGTTGAAAAAAAAGTTTGGTTGGTTTCTTTTATTCGAATTTTTTTTTTTATCGTTTGAGGATCGTTTTATATTTTTTAAATGGAATACTATATTTTGGAAAAGGAAGAAATATATTTATATTACATATATTCTCTCTCTTTTTTTCTTTCAAGAAGTTCAAAGTAAGAAATTTTGATTACAGTTTTGACTACACTCGTATCTTATTTAATATAATCTGAAATCAAACATCGAGGCACGTAATGTAATTTATATTCAGTAAATCACCATTCCGGTAATTGGGAATTAAAATTAAATTTTGATACGACTACAAAACGCGACTTCGTCGTATTTAATCCTCGCTCCTACGAGGCTGGCTCGAAATTAAAGCAAGAGGTCGACTGATATAAGTGCATAATTTACATAATGGCAGGGAAGGTATATTCGAAATAATATATAATCAAAAAATTCGAATCCTCCCCCGATCCATCCCTCTCGTTTATAAAAATAACTCACAAACTGATAATAAACTGATCGAGGAAAAATGTAAAAGTTGCGGGATTAATCTCGAAACTCGGCTATCCCGGGTTGAGAAAAAAGAAAAAAAGAAGAAGAAAAAGAAGAAGAAAAATTCGTGACAGGGAAATCCCAAGGCATCATCGAATTTCCCTCATCAACCGGTTTTCCCCTCCGATTTTTCCTTTGCCGCGATCGTTCTTTGTCCGCCTTTGTCGTCGCATTTCTTTCGAGCGTTCGTGCCTTTCGTTCTTTCACCGTGTTCGTTCATTCCGCGTAGCCCTTCGTTCGAGCGTTCGCTCCTTCAACCTCCTCTCCCGCCCCCGCGATAAATAAACGGTGTTGGGAGGGGTGTTTTACGCCAGCAGACGCGTAACGACGACTTTAAAGGGAATGGAAAATCGTTGGAAGCCGCGTTTCTTTGCCTCCGTTCCGTTTGCCTCTCAATGCAGTTGAATATACCTGGTTCACTGGAAACGCTCTCAATGCTTCGAGTTAATTTGTCTCGAATAAAGAATCTCCCTCATCCTCCTCCCCCTCTTTCTCCCCATCTGTCTATCCGTCTATTTATTTCCATCTTCATTTCCTTCCTTCCATGGTTGAACGGTGGTGGAAGGGAAGGGGCGGGCAGAGGCATGCGTGTAATTATGTTGCGAGTTAATGAAGAGCGGCGGGATCGAGTGTCGAGAGAGGAAAACGAGTGGGGATACGTACAACTGTAACTTCCACCGACGAATTAAATAAAAACAGATCTTCTTCCTCGTTGCGGGTGGTACACGAGTAGTGTACAGTTGTTTACTGATTAATCGAGGCTAATACTCGCAATTAATTTTGCAAACGTCGTTTTCCCCCGATTTTTGATTAAAATTATTCAAAACACGAGAGTTATATGTCGGAACGAAATAATTTTTAAACTGAAGAGCTGTTGCTATTACAAGACGTTTCTCGTTATATTTTTGGAGGCTCTCTTCGTTCTTCGTAATTTGCGCGAGAGGAAGATTTTCGAATTTGCACGCGTATTTACCACTGTGAAATATTTGCCTCGTCATTTCTGTTCAAAATGATACGTAAACACGAATAATCCCGCTTAATGAGGCAAAATTGTTTACATCATTATGATAGTGAAATGCCATTAAATTGTATGTAAATTAATACAGCGAACGAAGTTATATTTCCGTGATGTGAATGAAAGCTTTCAAAAAAAAAAAAAAAAAAAAAAAAAAAAAACAGCGCCAGGCTGCACCGCTCGAAGCGCGAATGTTGTCAAGGATGTCAGGAAATCAAATTAGAGAGTGAGAAAAAAAAAACTGAAGTTTATCGAGTTTTAAGTTTAAGCTTAAAAAGTTCGATGATTAAATTTGTTTCTCTGAATTGAAAAGTATGAATTAAAAACTAATCAATTATCCCTTGACGAACGAACGTCCAACATCATCGAAATCATTTCGAAAACTTCGAAAATGTTTAATTCCTCTCTTAAGAAAAAGTTTGTTTGTTCAAGTTTAACGATATATACCTTTCGATATTTTTCTCCAAATCGCTGTTCCTTTTTTTTAACGTCGATCCTTTCGAATCAATTGAATCAATAGTAAATCAGCATCTATCGAAATCTATCGAAAAATTTAACCTATCTTAATAATAAGAGAAATTTCTTCTCCAAGATGAATACTTTAATTCGATATTCTATTATTTATTCTCGCTAATAATTCGTATTCTGGTTCACTCGAATTTGTATCGATGCGTCTCTGGATACAATTTGACGACAGAGATTTTTCCATTTTACTTCACAGGTACGATTTGATGATTGGCGTGGTCCGGTCGGAGGCGTATTTCGCTTTAACAGCGGACGACGCGCAATACGGGATCGAGGCGGATAGAAGAACGAAAATCCTGAGGGAATTCGTGCGTAACACGTACACGTATCATCAAGCGGAGATCTTGGCGACGATAATCAACGAGTACACCGACTGGGAACGGCCTGTGCAACATCCGGTCAACATAAAGTGAGCGCAAAGATTAAACTATGCTTTCTTTTCTCTCTCTCTTTCTCGGATACAATTTCTCGTTAAATCTCGTAATATCTCTCTAAAACTCGTGTCATTCTCGATTCACAATGGACGGACTAAGTAATATAAAAAGTAATCCGTTGCACAATCTCAGATCCGCTCCAATTGCCGACTGTCTTTTCGTTCCACGTGTTTCACGAAATTCCATTTTTATAGAGAGAGGATTGAATGGAAAATGATCGAAAATGTGAGAAAAAAAGGAGAGAAATCGTTAATCGACGTTAGAATTTTAATATTGCAAATATAATATTACGCACAAATATTCGCCATTTAGAGATAATATTTCTTTCAGGGACGAAACCTTGGAAGCCTTAGGGGATGCGAACACCGTGGCACCGGCTACGAGAACGGCGGATCTTCACAGCCAATCCCGTCGAAACTCGTATTTGTACGTATTCGACTATCAGTCGAAGTTCGGCGACTATCCTCAGGTACGTTCACGTTCACTCGCAAGTTTCTCATCCTCGAATGACGATGGAGAGAACGCGCATGCGACTGAGGGAGGGGAGGGCAAAAAAAAAGAAAAATTGGAGAGTCAACGATGAGCAGGATATAGGATAGCAAAATGGTAGCGTAATGCAATCAGGGAGGCGGTCATTAACCCAGATCTCGCATATTTTATTACTAACGATGATACATCGCGCTATTTCTTCGCACGTTCCCTCCTCGTTCATTCAAATTTAAATCCCATTCTTCAGCCCGCGCATCCGTTTTCGCCACTGACGTTTCGTAGTTCAGGGATGCGAAATGAAAGTTCCATTGTGGCTGCGTGTGTGTGTATATATATATGTGTATGTGGGTGCATCAAGTATGAAACTTAGAAAAAATTGCCAGTAAATATAAGACGAGTAAAATCGTAGATCGATGAATCCTGTGTGCTTAAAGTAAAACCAGTTTCGAGTTCGTCACGTGAATCTCATTAATTCTTATTTATTATTCGATGAAGAATCGAACAAATATAAATTTAGAATTATTATAAAGCACGGAAAATATATATTTTAAGAAAGATTAAAAATAATTCTGGCGATATTACTTGATAGTAAAGAAAAATTAATCAGTCGGTTAAAATTTTGTTTGATTGAAGACTTGTTCTTCTTCGTTCCAGTTTGCAACCAGTAAATTTGCACGCTGTGCGTTTCACGTTGTTAGTGATAAGGTAACAAGCAAGAAATCGTGAGATAACGCGATTCCTTAACTTAATTTTTTTTATTTGAGAAACGGAAGAAGAAACAAGTTTAAAAGAAATTTGCATGGTTTTGCATTGAAACGGAGAACGTCAACTTTTCTTTTGTAATGGTGGTTTCGTGTTTCTTCCAGAGAGAGAGAGAGTTCGTTTATTATCATAAGCACAAGACTGACGGACGTAATGTAAATGAGGTAAAATTTATCATTTCGAGCAATTTTTTTGATAAACATTTCCATTACTGACAGATATCATAAAATCACGATAAATGAATTTTTTTTTATTTCGAATGAAAACGAACGAATGTATTTTATCATATTTCTGAAAGATAATGAAAAGGAGATACTGTAATATTTATACTAATGAGAAACGAATATATACAATTGTTTTTTTAAATTGTTTTTATACAAAATATTCATAACGTAGGAAAAAATAAAAAGATTTTTATTATATCTTCTCCTGGCTGTCATATAAAATTTACGAAATATTTTAGAAAACATTAAAAATACTTATATTATTAAAACTTCTAATGGATCAAATTTGCACTTCTTTTTTTATATATCGTTTTTTAATACATATAATTAAAAAAATATAACAGATGATGAAAAATGAATAGAGGCAGTGAATTTTTAGAATAAAATTGCACGTATAACGTATTCGAAATATAGAGAAATTCGAATACAGAAAAATTTTCCGTTTCAGCGGAGAAAAATTGAAATAATTGTAATAATTATAAAAGAAGAAATTTCGTGATATTATATTACACAAATTATATAGAGTATTTTTTCCTTAATTAATAAAAATAGAAATGAAAAATAGAGTTCAAAAATTAAAGAAGAGAAATACTATACTCTCGAGAAGAAAAATGTAATAACACGTGAACTTCCTTGGTTGAACGAGGATAATAGTGTTATTACAAAATTGTCTCGAATTCTCGAAATTTTCTGATACTACTTTGACTTTTCTCGATATCCGTTCCCGCAAAATTGTCTCAAATTCTTGAAACATTCTACTACCATTTTGACTTTTTTCCCAAAAACATCCTTACTTCGTCGTCTAAAACTTTTTAAAATATCATCGAAAATGAGATATTGGAAAATTTCTCATCCAGAAAGAAATTCCCGAACTATTTTCGTAACTCTTTCATTCCCCATATTCGATAAAACTCAAAATAACTCGATCGATTTCACAAATTCGAACGACAATATTACATCTCTCATTTCTACTAACAAAACTTTACATCCATTTACCACCGCTCGAAAGATAAAACAAACTGGAATAATCTTTTTCTCCAAAATTTCTTCTAAACCATCCCTCATTCCCAATAAAACTAAGAATCCATAAAATAATTCTATCACAAATTCTAACAAACCACCACTATCTATACCTAGCTTCTATAACTTCTATATCCTTCAAATCGTCATTCGAATACAAGTAACAAAAACCTATCCTGAAGAATCGTCAAAATCTCGAATCAGGTTCTTCGAGAAACCAATCCTCCTCCATTTTAACGATAACGTAACGATAACCGTAAAACCGATGATACGTAATCGATTCGATCTGACGAATCTCTATCCTCTCCAATTCCTAAAAACTCTTTTTTTTTCTTTTCTCTTACGTTCGACAGGAGAGGAAGAGGGATAGGAGTTTCAAACTATAAATTTCCCGAGCGCGATTATTATTATTATTACCGCGTGCACGTGTACATTACGCGGTATGTATCTTGGACGCGTCGCGCATCCGCGCAGGAAGCGGATACGCGCGAGGGGAAATTGTAAAATTACGGGGGAGGGGAGGGGCGCAGCGGCACGCGAGATCGGTTGGTTGTGCATCAACGTTAGAACTCGGGCGTTTCCGGTCGGAGTTTCGGCGCGCCGCGGATACACCCGGTTATCATCAACGTTCCCAACGCCGCTGATAACACCGCCGATAATTTCCTGGACAATTACGGACGAGGAGGAGAGGGGAGGAGGAGGAGGAGGAGGAGAAGGAGGAGGGACGTGGTTATTTATAATGGGATGGGGGGAAAAAGGAAACGATACGTTCGATATCGGCGGCGTTAATTGCGCGGGAAACCGATGAAATTAATTTCGTACCTCGAAATCTCGTGAAGTTTTGCACGAGAGGGAAGAAATGACTTCCGGGAAATGGAGGATGGGGACGGGAGATGGATGGAATGGAAAATCGCTTCGCGTAATTCCGTGTATAGTCTATTGTCGAGACAGATTGTGAATTATTACAATGTATCGAACGTTTTCGTACGAACGCGGGCGCCTTTCTCGTTGGTTTTTGCATGTACGATACCGAACGAATGATTGATGTGTCGTTTGTTGATTCTTTTTCTTTTTTTTTTTTCGAACGAATAATTATCGATTAAAAGAAACTCAATTTTTGTAAATAAAGGATCGATTAATTAATCGTTTAAAAAGTAATTTACGATAATATCCTTAAAAAAATAAATAATAATAGTAATAATAATAATCTTTTCCTGGATTATTATTATCGGAAATTATCCAAAAGATTTTATTATCCAAAAGAAAGAAGAAATCACATGTTATTCGCGAAATATGAGTTTGAAAAAAGATAGAGAAAACGAATAAATGTAGATCGATGAAAGTGGCTCGCGAGTAGAAAAGGGGTGCGTTGGTCGGACGGACGAATGCTACGCGAATATTGAGGTATATATATATAAGAAAAAATTCATGACATACGATCGGATGAATCGAAATTGTTAAACGAAACGTGTTCATATGAATGTAACGCGAGAGAACGTTTAAAAAGTAGGATCGAAATTCAATAGAAGCGTGCGGCCGTTATTCATTACTACGACGGATTCCCCCTCCTCCCCTCCATGCTCACTCATGGGTTTCGTTTCTGGTAAACGCGAGAGGGGGAAAAAAGGGAGGAGGAAGGGAGAGTTACGAGCGGGAAAAGATTAATATTCAACGAAATCGGCTCGAAATCCGTTACATCCGTTATTAGAGCTCCTACAATTCGATTCGATCCATCAATTCCGATGTTACACACCCCGGGAGGATCGTTCCATTG